CCATTCCCCCTCACAACCCGCTTCCACAGCAAACCACGCCCAATTCTAACTACGGCAAAAAAAAAAAAAAATTTTAAACACACACACACACACACACACAAAAACACACCTCCCCCCCTCTCGCCGCCCCCATTTGTCCGTCAACTACTTGGCATTGCTTCCGCGGCAGCCGTCCACAAGCATCGCCAATGGCAACATCATAAAATTCACAACCGAAAAAAAAAAAGAACTCCATGACGACGGCAAAGAACCAACTTTGATCAACAAAGCACGTAATGGCCTACATGGCCGACCGACCACGGATGGCGGCAGCGATCTCCAACAGTGCTTTGCACATCATCCTCTGCGTCTCATCGGACGCCGCATAGTGCGCTTTTTGGACGGCAACTTCCTGCTCCAGTATGTCGCATTGCCTCGTGAAGATGCTGCATTGCCGCTTGCTAGACGATTCGATCATCGACGACATCAGTGCGCCATGGCGTTCCATGACATCAGAGATGGACTCGAATGCCTGCTGACGCGCGTTCTTACGCTTCCCGCCTCCCGCCCCGCTGACTACGTTGCTGTCGGACTCCCTCGCAGAAGAACGCTCGTCAGGGCAGCCTTCACCGGCCGCCTCACTACAAACAGACTCCCCGCCACCCGCTCCTCGCCTGGGCAGTTGCACCCCATCCGGACTGCCGGTGTCGACAACGTTGGGAGGGAAAATCGTGTGGTTCCCCACCATGCCCGCGTGGATCTTGTTGTACAGTGCCCTGCCCATCCGGAACTTGAAGTTGTGCTCCTTCCTCTCTTTGTTCGTCAACCTGAAAAAATCTGGCCGCCCGCTGGCATTCTGAAACCTCTGAATTTTCTTGTAGTTCTGGAACAGATTGTCCCACTTCTTCATGCAGTCGTCAGCGTCCTTCGGCCTCCCCGCATTTGCCATCCGCTTCGACATGTCCTCCCACTTCCACTCTTTCGTCTTCATCCGCCCGTAACTGTGAGACAAGCCGGCGAGGTGCATATCTTGCTCCCGCTTGCATCGCACCAGGAGCATTTGGTCTTCTGCAGACCAGTACGTCGGAGACTTCCCGGCGTTGCCACTTACGCCACCTCTGCCTCCACGGCCAACGGATCGACCACGGACACCACCTCTGCCGCGTCCTTTCTCCGTCCCAGCCGTCTTCCCTAAAGGCCGAATTGGAACGTCGTCGTCGTCGTCCCCCGCTTCCACGTCTTCCCTCATCCCTTCGTCTGCGTCGTCACCGAAGCCGACGTCGTCTTCGCCTCCATCGCTGTGTGCACGCATGTTCGGCACTCCACGTGTTATGTTCTCCACAGTGGGTCGTGGACGTACCGGCACTCTGCACGTTCCCTCGTCCTTCACTCCGGATTCGACCGGTGTTGTGTACGCAGGCATCAACGAACGTGCACCGCCCATGCGCAGGGGCCCTGCTGCCACCCCGGGGGGTGCGGGCCAGGTCGGTGTTAATCGATCGACGGACGGAGCAGTCGATCCATGCTGCTGTCCCGCTGGCAATGGCCCGACCGGGCTAGTCACGAGTGCAGCGTGTGGACTGCTCCATATGCAGACTTCCACCATGCTTAACGCCACGTGCCGAAAGATCTACGTCGATGATGAACGTACGACTCGCCTCCCTGCCGCCGCCAGAACACAACTCGAACCTCAGATCAACTCCTCCGCCGTCATCGTCCCGCAAGCCTTGATGGAGCAATGACGTGAACTCGCCCCCTTCGTCGGAAGCCGACCCGCCTGCTCGCACCGTCTGCGACGACAACTAAGTCGAGCCGCTACCGAGAGGCAACGTCGAAAGTTCTTCCTTCTTTGGCTCCTTATCCGACGGGGGCAATGGCGTGTCCCACGACTCTAGATGGGTGTACATGGACGGGTCGTACCGCCTTCGAGGCTCCGCCGTAGAAGATCGAACTCCTCCCTGACCTGCGGCAGCAGCCGGTCGTGCCTGCATGCCCTCCATTAGACGTTTGCCTGCCGCCCGTCTCGTCGAAGCCCTCCTCTTGCGTTGTTGTTTCCACGGCCGCCACGAAAAACACATGTAGAGGAAGACGACAATCAGGAAGACGACAGCGAGTACCAGCAGAGGCAATCTCCTCCGCACGTCAGCCCTGAAATTCACCTCTGCAGCCGCCCTCGCACGTGACCACTGCAGATGTGTGTTCCGACATGCCCGCGACAGGGGCGCTCGACCTTCATCTGCGGACAACCACCACAGACGACGACGAACACGCCCACCTTCCTTTTGAAATTCGACCGTTGCGGTGCGAGCTGCCCGAATCGGCTCCGTCTGTCGTCCTGCGCACGTCGACGTCCCACTCCGCATCTCGCAAGCGACCCAACGGTCCAGTACGGGCAACCACCCGCCGACGCTCGGCCCTCCGCGCTCCACCCCCTCTGCCAACGGCTACCGTGTGTGGCCGTCGCCCGCGTCGAGCCGCAGAAAACCTCTGATGTCCGACCACCGACTCGACGGACCGCTTCTGGACCACCAATAAGTGTCGACGGTGCCATGCGCGCGACGCAACGACTCCGTAAAATGCGGGAATCCTAAATTTTTCAGTAGGTCGGGGGCTACTGGAAAATTTAGGACGATTTTGCCAAGGGAATCCTATATCTTTTAGGACTCGTCCTAACGCAGTTTTCACATTTCCGATCTCCGATTTCGTTTTAGGACTGTGTGCAACGAGGACGCAATCCTAAAAACAGGCATTTTTAGGAGTGTCCAACGAGACCCTTAGTAGGCACCCCGAAATAAATTTGACCCCCCTTAAGTTGAAATCCGTCCCCCTTTGTAATTTTTGGACTCCTTTAGCGGTGGGTGTTAACCACCAGGGTATTCTTGGCACCCCGAAATAAATTTAACCCCCCTTTAGTTAGTTCTGACCCCCTTTATAAGTTTTCGACCCCTTTAGCGTTGGGTCCTAACCCCAGGCTATCCTTCACACCCCGAAATTAATTTGAGCTCTATTTAGTTCAAATCCGACCCCCTTTGTAATTTTTGGACCCCTATAGTGGTGGGTCTTAACCGCAAGGGTATTTTTGGCACCCCGAAATTAGTTTGACCCCCCTTAAGTTGAAATCCGACCCCATTTATAATTTTTGGACCCCTAGAGCGGTGGGTGCTAACCGCCTGGGTATTCTTGGCACCCGGAAACTAGTTTGACCCCCCTTAAGTCGAAATCCGACCCCCTTTATAATTTTTGGACCCCTAGAGCGGTGGGTTCTAACCCCTAGGCTATTTTTCGCACCCCGAAATTAATTTGACCCCCCTTAAGTTAGAATCCGACCCCCTTTATAATTTTTCGACCGCTAAAGCGGTGGGTCCTAACCCCCAGGCTTTTCATCGCTCCCCGAAATTAATTTGACCTCGGTTAAGTGAGAATCCGACCCCCCATATAATTTTTCGACCCCTGTAGCGGTGGGTCCTAACCGCCTGGGTATTCTTGGCACCCCGAAATTAATTTGACCCCCCTTAAGTTGAAATCCGACCGCCTTTATAATTTTAGGACCCCTTTAGCGCTGGGTGTTAACCGCCAGGGTATTCTTGGCACCCCGAAATTAATTTGACCCCCCTCAAGTTGAAATCAGACCCCCTTTATAATTTTTTGACCCCTTTAGCGGTGGGTGCTAACGGCCAGGGTATTCTTGGCACCGTGAAAGTGATTTGACCCCCCTTAAGTGAGAATCCGACCCCTTTTATAATTTTTGGACCCCTGTAGTGGTGGGTTTAACCGCCTGGGTATTCTTGGCACCCCTTAAGTGAAAATCCGATTCCCTTTGTAATTTTTGGACCCCTATAGCAATGGGCCCCAACCACCAGGGTATTCTTGGCACCCCCAAATTAATGTGACTTCCCTTAAGTTTAAATTCGACCCCCTTTATAATTTTTGGACTCCTTTAGCGGTGGGTGCTAACCGCCAGGGCATTCTTGGCACCCCGAAATTAATGTGACCCCCCTTAAGTTGAAATTCGACCCCCTTTATTATTTTTGAACCCCTTTAGTAGTGGGTCCTAACCAGGGGGCTTTTCTTCGCACCCCGAGATTAATTGGACCCCCTTTAAGTGAGAATCTGACCCCCTTTATAATCTTTGGACCCCTAGAGCAGTGGGTCCTAACTGCGAGGGCATTTTTAGCACCCCAAAATTAATTTGACCACTCTTAAGTGAAAATCCGACCCCCTAACAATTTTTGCACCCCTTTAGCGGTAGGTACTAACCGCCACGATATTCTTGGCACCCCGAAATTAATTTGATTCCCCTTAAGTTGAAATCCCACCCCCTTTATAAATTTTGGACCCCTTTAGCGGTTGGTCCTAACCCCCATGCTTTTATTCGCACCTCGAAATTTATTGGAGTGAGAATTTGACCCGCTTTATAATCTTTGGACCCCTGGAGCGGTGAGTCCTAGCCGCCTGGGTATTCTTGGCACCCCTAAAATTAATTTCACCCCCCTTAAGTGAAAATCCGACCCTCTTTATAATTTTTGGACCCCTATAGCGGTGGGTCCTAACCGCCAGGGTATTCTTGGCACACCGAAATTAATTTGACCCCCCTTAAGCTGAAATCCGACCCCCTTTATAATTTTTGGACTTCCTTAGCGGTGGGTACTAACTGCAAGGACATTCTTGGCACCCCGAAATCAATTTGACTCCCCTTAAGTTGAAATCCCACCCCCTCTATAATTTTTGGACCCCTTTAGCGGTGGGTCCTAACCCCCTGGCTTTTCTTCGCACCCCGAAATTAATTGGAGTGAGAATCTGACCCCCTTTATAATCTTTGGACCCCTAAAGTGGCGGGTCCTAGCCGCCAGGGCATTCTTAGCACCCCGAAATTAATTTCACCCTCCTTAAGTGAAAATCCGACCCACTTTATATTTTTTGGACTCCTTTAGCGGTGGGTGCTAACCGCCAGGGTATTCTTGGCACCCCAAAATTAATTTGACTTCCCTTAAGTTCAAATCACACCCCCTTTATAAATTTTGGACCCCTTTAGCAGTGGGTCCTAAACGCCAGGGTATTCTTGGCACCCCGAAATCAGTTTGACCCCCCTTAAGTTAAAATCCGACCCCCTTTAAATTTTTGGACCCTTAAAGCGGTGGGTCCTAACCCCCAGGCTCTTCTTTGCGCCCCGAAGTTAATTTGACATCCCTTAAGTGAGAATCATACCCCCTTTGTAATTTTCGGACCCCTATGGCGGTGGGTCCTAACGGCCAGGGTATTCTTCGCACCCCAAAATTAATTTGACCCCACTTAAGTTGAAATCCGACCCCCTTTATAATTTTTGGACCCCTACAGCGTTGGGTCCTAACCGCCAGGGTATTCTTCGCACCCCAAAAATTAAGTTGACCCCCCTTAAGTTGGAATCCGACTCCCTTTATAATTTTTGACCGCTAAAGCATTGGGTCCTAACCTTCAGGCTTTTCTTTGCACCCCAAAATTAATTTGACCTCTCTTAAGTGAGAATCCGACCCCCTTCATAATTTACGGACCCCTGTAGTGGTGGGTCATATCCGCCATTGTATTCTTGGCACCCTGAAATTAATTTGACCCCCCTGTCAAGCGGCCACAAGTAGTGCGCCGCCTGAGAACGACAGTTTAGGGGATTAGGCTCAGGGTTAAGTCCGCGTTTTGACAGTGCTTTGGGATGACCGGGCTGCAGGAATTATGAGAACTCAGGGTACCCCTGATTTTGCACGCACTAGATTTTAAGAGTAACCCCCAAAGACAGCAAGAAGGATAGGTGCACTAAGCACGACTAGAGACCGTCATTTCCGCTCGCTCAGAGGACAAGGACCGTTTTGGCCTGCCGCGGAGAGGGATCGCGGAAACAGACCTCGCCGC